ATAAATTACAGTTTAACACATATTCACATAGAAAACAGTTATTTGAAGCTGTAATAATATTTCTCAGTATTACCGTTTTTACTGTATTACTGAGCACATGTTTCTTAACTTTTGACAAGTACTGTAGATGTTGTTCACCACTCATTGGACGGAGTGAAGATTAATATATTAGTATAATGAATACAAATAAATTCACCACATTGATATAACACTTCGGGACAAAATACACAAAGGATCTATAAGTAAAGAAGAAATAATCAAACGTGAAAATCTCTTTCTATCCACAGTAGATAGAAAGTCATTAAAAAGGTCAGTAAATTCTGACCAAATGTTCATTTTTCAACTACTACTAGACTATTAGTATAGCCTTTGCTAATTAAAGGAGTTTTATCGGTTACACTTGACTTTGATAGTCCACTTTAGACATTAAACTAACGATAAGTAACTTTGTCAACTAGTGTTACTCTTTTATTTACTTCACTATCCTGAGCGAGGGAGTTCTCACTGATAGTGCATGATAACTTCAGTCTGCAGGTCATTATCTAACAAGTTTAGAATGAGTTACTGTCATGTGTAGATCTAGAAAGGCAGATATGTGTGTTTTTGGTTGATTGTACAGGTGGCAACATATTGCAGCCCGCAGGGGGAAAGTAATGCAACACTAATCTGCATATTCCAGAGCTTCTCTCTACAGGAACACAAGAAACCGCATGCGTCTGAGCAGCAGAGCTCATCAAACAACACACAGAGAGAGAGTGAAACATGTGGCTTCATCTGACAGGAATGTGTCTGGCAGACGAGTGTGGTCATGTCTGAAGAGAGCAGGATTACTATCCTATTGCATTCACCTAAAACATATGTTTCAGCTAATATTCCTGCGTCTCTACAGTAACACGAGCAGTGCAGGGTGAACTACACGCTTAACTTTAACACTTAGAGGTTTGTTTAAAACGTTATCAATCTTTGAACATAGTAGTGATGCATGATTTAGCAAACACAATTAATTACAGGCAACACTGATATGTGAAACATGAATCTAGTGGGAAATGGTTTAAAAAAAAAACAATTTAATTTAGTATGATTTATACACCATTTTCCTCATGGGGATCAAAAAATGTCCCACAAGATCAAACATTTCAGGTGTTACTATCCTTGTGGGGACACACACTCACGCACACACACACACCCTCAGGAACACACACACACACACACACACACACTCAGGAACACACACACTCATGCACACACACACTCAGGAACACACACACTCAGGAACACACACTCATACACACACACACACACGCACTCAGGAACACACACACACACCCCCCTAATAAACCCACATTGCATCAGAGAACAGTCTGTGTCTGATGCCATGTTTGCAGATTTGCTAAACATATTACAGGTCTTTTTATTTCATTTATGCCTAACTTTACTTTGAGCATTTTCCATTGATTTCTCATTATACTTGTCTCATTTGACTTCCTTGAATTTTGCAGTCTGCAGTTTCTGTGGAGTCTGAAGCTGATCATGACACACGAGTCTCTACATGTTTACGTTCAGCGTGACTGATTCCTCAGACTCTGATTACGCCACATCATCATTCATAATGCAGGAGAAATAATGCATATCGTTCACTATATGGAATACAACCAAAGGTGGCCCCAGTATTTGGACACTTACAGTTTTTGCCTATTGCTTACACACTTTTTGCAAAACTTCGGCTCATTGTGTCAAAACTTTACACACAAGCACACAAGACACAACACTGGGAAATAAACCATTCACATCTATGTCGAATTGAAACTCTGCTATCAAAACCTAACAATCCTTTGTCAAAATGTCACTCTGATGACAAAATGATACACACTTGCATCATATGAATACACTTTCAGATTAGCAGCAACACACTAGTGTACTTTATATTAACCACTGCAGTCTTTAATTTTCACTGTTTTTATTCAGTTCATCAGCTAGCATTCTGTGAAGCTCAATGCAACACTTACAGTTTTTGTTCTGTTTTTTTCCAACAAAGGTTTTCACAACAACCAAAAATGAAAGTACTGAAAGGTTACAAATGGCATCAACTCAATACTGAATAAAACCCAATACACTACTGTAAATACAGAAAAACAGGCCAATTGTGCGTGGGTGGGATTACAGATCCTGCTGTCTGTTTGGGTCTGGCCACAGGATCTCATCAACGTCACAAGCGATATTTTCTCCTGCTAAGCAACGGGGAAAATAACACCTTGTGTGCCGAATCCATCCATGGGTTGACGTTACCTTACAGTTTTTTACGATTGCTTACACACCAAAATTAAACTTTTCCAACAATTAGCAAAACCTTACACTCAAGGAGCAAAACACAAGGCTAGATTTGCACAACTGTAAGCACATTGTCAGCTTCACACTATTTGCAAAACATTAGAGCAAGTGTGTTGCAGAATTGCAACTGAAGTGCAAAGCAGCGCTTTTGTTTAAGGTATGGTTACACTGTGTTTAAGGTATAGTAACAAAAGCTTCAAGTTTTGTTACTTTGGTCTAAGCATGTGTCTATAGTGTTCAAGCAATAGGCAAAAACTGTAAATTACACATTAAAATGCCTAAATGTATGTATGTATATATAAAGATGAGACTTTAAAACGTTTGGTTTTGTTCTGTTATGCACATAATAAGAGGAGTTTGAAACACAATCAAGGCTGATTATGTAACATTTAGTGGAACTGTTTTTGTTTAAATGCATTCAACTAACAATACACACTTGAAGACTCAGACCAGCCCTTGTTTTCAGTGTGTGTTTGTGTGTGTGTGTGTGCGCATGTGAGTGTGTGTGCGCGCATGTGAGTGTGTGTGTGCATGTGAGTGTGTGTGTGTGTGCATGTGAGTGTGTGTGTAATGAATGGCCAGAAGTGTAATTAGGAAGCTGCTGGGTGCAGCAAGGAAGTTCAGTCTAATTTTGTGCTGGATGATCTGACCTGGTATAGATTTATGTTTGGGTGATTTAACCCTAAAGCCTGCTGTATCATATTTGATGCACACATTTCTAAGGCCTCTTTTATCCAGTAAAAGCTCTTTTAGTGTAATTGTAGAAACGTCCAGTTTCAGCTGGAGCTTCACGTGTCAGATCTTGACTGATTTTTATCAGAATAACTGCAGTAATATCTCCAGATGAACACTTACTGGACTGAAGCAGCTCAGCTTTACTTGATTCTCCATCAATCATGTTTTAGAGTCTCAAATCTGATCCTCAGGATCTTTTGAGGAGCGTTTGTTTCCAGAAGCTTTACTTTCACTTTTGGTCTTCTCCTCGAGTATGAGCTATTCTCTTATATCATATGAGCCTGATGAATCAAATATGATACCCAATAAAAACATGTATGCAAACTTTCTTGTCTAAAGGTTAAATAAACCTCCATTAAAAAAAAAAGATTATTCTGACTATTATTGCATATGTCAAGCTTTATGGTTAATAAATACACTAGCAGTCAAAAGTTTTTGAACGGTAAGATTTGTAATGTTTTTTTTAAAGAAGTCTCTTCTGTTCACCGAGCCTGCATTTATTTGATCCAAAATACAGCGAAAGCAGTAAAATCTTGAAATATTTTTACTATTTAAAATAACTGCTTTCTATTTGAATATATTTTAAACTGTAATTTATTCCTGTGATTTCAAAGCTGAATTTTTAGCATCATTACTCCAGTCACATCAGTCTAATATTCTGATTTGCTGTTCAAAAACATTTATTAATATTATTATTATTATTTTGTTGAAAACAGCTGAGTAGATTTTTTTCAGGTTTCTCTGATGAATAGAAAGTTCAGAAGGACAGCATTTATCTGAAATAAAAAAATATTTTGCAACACTATAAATGTCTTTATCATCACTTTTGATCAATTTAAAGCATCCTTGCTAAATAAAAGTATTAATTTCTATAATTCATACAACGTGTATTCTATAAATTATATATTTTTTATTTTACCCATCCCCCCATAGCTTTGATCACAGAAATAAATTCCATTTTAAAATATTTTCAAACAGAAATCAGTTATTTTAGATAGCAAAAGTATCTCACAATTGTTAACCTAACTGGTTTTGCTGTAGGCTACTTCGGGTGAAATAAACGCAGGCTCGGTGAGCAGAAGTCTTAAAACATTAACATGGAAAATCTTACTGTTCAAAAACGTTTGACTGCTAGTGTAAACGTCTACTCTCCAGTAAGACTGATAATGAATGTTATATGGATTCATTGTAATTCAGGCTTCAGGTCCTTTAAATGAAGACATGCCTGCATTTGCCCTTCCATGGCCTCAGTTCAGGAAAAAAGGACAGTTCACAAAGTTACATATGGAGGTACTTCCTTTCATTTTTGACCTGGCTGTGAATGCAAATATTCTGTATGCAGACCTACTACATGTGTGCCCTATATAACTACACTCTCGGGGCGGCACCTTTTCAAAACCTACACTTTTATGTAGCTTACAAAGGTGTACCTTTTGAAAAGGTGACTTCTTTTGTCCTACCTTTTTTTTTTTTCTGAGAGAGGACACTGCATGAGATAGTTTCCCACAATGCAGTGCATTTCTTGTTCTTGTCCCAAAACGATATCTTCTAAGATAACCGGGTAAGGTCATGTGAGGAAAATGTAGCACACTATTGTTGAGTTTATTGTTGCATAATTGTTGTGCTGTTTCACATTCTATTAGAGACGTAAGGCAGTACGCATTGAGTATTATACATATACTGTGCAGTATTCAGTAACTGGTGCACTAGTATTTTATTGTGAACAAAATATTAATTTCGGTCTACAACACATGAACTGAAAACAACACAGCCGCTGAGGAAGTTTGTGTCGTGCCTCCATCTACTGGACAGAGCGCGTTACTGCAGTCTTCCGAGCGACGTCATCCAGCAGGCGGAGCTACATGTCCATATATGGTCCGTGGCGTTACTGCAGTGGGCGGGACTTCGCATCCGATTGGCTCAACTGGTGTCCATCACCTCAGGTCGATAGCAAACGAGCTAACTAGCTCCACACAGCCAAAACACCGCGAAAGAAGCATAGCGGCGAAAACCCGCGGGTTACTTATTTAAATCTATTTTTTATTTATTTATTTATATGTTTAAACATTAAATCGGTTATTTGCAGAAACCGGGACGGAAGGAGAGGTATGTTGATTATTGTGCGAGTACTAAGTTAATTGGAAACAGCTCAGCTTACTAGAGAAACAGAAACATATTAGCTTAATGTGGATGCAAATAACTACACCCAACATATCTGTGGTATTTAACACGTTTTGGTTTAAGATATTAGTACTGTTTAATGTCTACAGACTAATTAACTTGATGAAAAGGTTTTTTTCTATAAGTATATCCTTGCTAGTTCAAACCAACCTCATTTGTTTGCTGCTTTGTTTATTTGTTTTGCTAAGTTGTGCCATTGCTCTTATGATGAACATTTAGCTAGCGCATACAATTAACCTAATATAACCTAGTATGCCAGTTTATGCTCTATATATCACTATTAACCTTCAAGTTTAAGTGTAACAGATCTACATGTAACCTTTCTTGAGCATCTCTATAATAACTTATAAAAGGATGAATTAATAAAATACGAGTAATAATTGCTAATAATAATTTTATGTTACAACAGTTGTAATTATTGAAAAAGTTGAAAACTGTTTAAACTAAAACGCTACTATTTATAAAGTTTTCGTATTTAATAACTATTTTTAATTTATTAACTAGCCTATCCCTTACAGAAATTAATTAACCATGGTTTTCTTGTAGTAAAGGTGTAGTAACCATGTTTTTTGTTTTTTTGGCATATTGATTACCATTTGTATAACCACAGTTTTACTACAAATACCATGGTTAAACTATGGTTAGTGTAGCAAAACCATGGTTAATTTGTGGTTAACATGGTTTATCTATAGTAAACATGTTTTTTTGCTTTAATTTGTAATAAAACCATGGTTACATTTTTGTAAGGGACTAATACAAAATGCTTAACTGGAGATGTATTGGTGTACATAAAAAATAAATAGAGTAAACTGTTAGGTAAAGTCCTAGTAAGAAGCTCTGAGAAATGCACTTAGACATGTTGTTTTTCTATTGATTTTTGCGTGCTCCTTTGCCGGACACACACATGAACCTCTGTGTCTTTACAGGAGAATGGTCGTCCCTGATGGTGGAAGTGTCCTCCAGCCAGCGGACAGCGGTGATGCAGACGAGGTGCTGTCCAGCTCGGAGCCGGAGTTCGGTCCCAATCTGACCGCGGTGGAGCTGCAGGAGGTGCGTAAGCTGCAGGAGCTGGTACGCCGTCTAGAGGTCCAGAATCAAGCCCTGCGCAACAGGGGCAGCAAACTCGCCAGCAACAGCAACCTCTCCACCGGAGCTAACAGGAATAACCTGCACGGGGCCATGGACACTTCTCCCGGAGCAGAGGATGCTGGGAACCTGGCGGGCAGCAGCAGCGGTGAGGACATGTCTCCGCTGCCCGAGGCCTCCAGGCCGGAGGAGGATGGGTTCTTAGGCTCCAAACAAACTCTGGGACGCTTCGAGCCGAGTCTGTCTCCGGATCTCTGTGATTCAGAGACGCTGGGAGCAAGGGATGTGGGTATGGGCCAGTCCGGCCTGGACGAGGTGGATGAGCTTGACTTAGAGACGTGCGCTCAGACCGAGGATGAAGACAGTTGGTGGGTTTATTCATCTTTTTATTGTAATCTCTCGTAGCTAGGGATGTAACGGTTACCGGTTTGATGATAAATCATGATAAGATTCCCCACGGTTGGTATTACCGTTTCATATTTTAATTATCATTAAAACCGTATCCGATTACCATGATTTCGCGCAATAAAATCGTCTGTGATTTTTTTTTTGCGTAACTTGTCAGTGAACTACGGCTCTGTGTAGTAAATGCTGCTCCATCTGAAAGCACGTGATGATGATTTCCTGCTGATTACAGAACCGGCTTTACTAACAAAATGCGCATGACAATCACATTCGATTAATCGTGCAGCCCTACAACTGAGGATAAATAAATACTATCCAGCATAAAGCAGGGTTTTACAGGTGTGCACAGCAGCAGAGTAGTTTCGTTTTGAGTGAAAACATGGCGGAAAACTGTGAGGGTTTAAAAGAGTGCTAAGGGAATTATACAAATAAATATATGAATGAATTAATTATATGAATATAATTATATTATAATTATAAGCGAGCAGTTTTTGAGATTTCAGGATTCCCCCATTAATTTAGATAGGATTCGGTCTTGTTTGAGCTGCCCAGAGGCGTTGCAAGTATGGTGGCCGAGTGTACGGACTTTCCTTGAAAGGAACTTTGGTTTTGTACATTTTGTGATTGGTTGCTTGTGCGTTGTTGTGCTATGTTACTTGAAGGATCAGTTCGCATCAAGAATAAAAATTCCCTGATAATTTACTCACCTACATGTCATCCAGGATGTTCATGTCTTTCTTCCTTCAGTTGAAAAGAAATTACGTTTTTTTTAAGGAAAACATTCCAGAATTTTTCTCCATTTTTCTCTGGACTTCAATGGTGCTCAACGGGCTGAAGGTCCTAATTGCAGTTTCAGTGCAGCTTCAAAGAGCTCTACTCGATCCCAGCCGAGGAATAAGGGTCTAGCCAAACGATTGGCCATTTTAAAAAAATTATAATTTTTTATAAACTTCTTAACCACAAATGCTCATCTTGCACTAGCTCTGTGATGCGCATGCGTGATTTGACACATTGTGTAAACGTATTGGAAAGGTCACGCACAGTAAAAAGTTTGGGTTTGGCGAAAAACGAGCAAAGAAAGTCAAACGCTCTTTACAATAAAGGTAAAACAACAATGTAAAACAATTTTCTCCTCCAACTTCAAAATTGTTCTACATTGTTGTTTTACCATTATTGTAAAGAGCGTTTGACTTTTTTGCTTGTTCGTTTTGTAAACACTGGGTCGGTACTAGGCCTGTCACGATAACAGCTTTTTGATGTGCGATATATTGCCCCAGAAATAATTGCGATAAGCGATATTATTGCCATTTTAAAGACCATTTTATGCCACTGAATATTTGCGCGATAAGTCGATATATTGATTATTGCGACAGGCCTAGTCGGTACTTCCGCCTTCGTCACGTCACTGCGTAATGTTTGAGGTCGAGCTAGTGCAAGACGAGCATTTGTGGTTTAAAAAGTATTAAAGTATATAATTTGTAATTTAGTTTTTTTTTTTTTTAAATGGCCGATCGTTTCACTAGATAAGACCCTTATTCCTCGGCTGGGATCTTGTGGAGCTCTTTGAAGCTGCAATTTGGACCTTCAACCTGTTGATCCCCATTGAAGTCCACTATATGGAGAAAAATCCTAGAATGTTTTCCTCAAAAACTTCAATTTCTTTTTGACTGAAGAAAGAAAGACATGAACATCTTGGATGACATGTGGGTGAGTAAATCTTTATTCTGGAAGTGAACTAATCCTTTAAGGCTGCAGTACACTACATGACTTTTAAAATAGGAACACATCGTGCACTTGCACACTTAAGAAATGGTTACAGATGAAAGCTGAGCATCATACACTAAATGATTGGGGATCACACACACTACCAGTATTTCAGGTCATTCCCAAAACTACAAAGTCACACAGAAACATGCTTCGTTGCTACATGCATGACAAATAAAAACAAGTCTGTTGCATTAATACACTACACCGTTTTCTGTGAAGTCTGTCAACTCATATCTGCAGATTAGCTCTGACTTTGATTTTGACTTCTGACTTTGAATGATTAGTTCACCCAAAAATGAAAATGAAGTCATCATTTATTCACCCTGTTGTTGTTTAATTTTAGTATCACTGATACCCTTTAGTAGGCTATCACCCATGCGACTCGTGTTCTGGGGTTTGGTGAAAAACAAACCAAAATTGAACACATTATTCAACAAAAATCCTGACCTTGACTATTAGTCTTTGTGAACCACTGTGCCTTAATGGGACTCTATTAGCACAGCAGTTCACTCCGGCTTGCCCTGGAAAAGCACACAAGTTGTGAGAAATCAAAGCATGGCGTCTCTTGCTAGGGGGTTTCTTACTGGCCCAAGTCAAAAGAGCCCATTCTCTGTGATATTCTGGTCTCTAGATTGTTTCAGCTGGCCGTTTCATTGTTTACCCATTGAAAAAGATATGTATAAAGTACGTCTGCTGTAATTATTGTGTGACCATGCTGTGGTTCTGAATGCGTGACAGCGCTGCATCGGTGAATGTGGCTGTGATTTGTGAGCGTCTGAGACCGTGGGATCCTCCTGTGTCTGCATGGGACGTCCAGTGGCATCTCTCAAATCAGAGTGAAGCCTGTTAGAGCTGGAGCCGTTCTTCTCTCGGCTCAGTGCAAAGTGAAATGAAGGATTGTCAGGTACGTTACTAAGATGCACATGGTTTGTTCTTGATTGGCAATTTCTCAAGCACCATTTTTAATATTTAATTACACCATCAGCATGCATGACTCACTGGATAAACAGTTTACTCGTCCGTTAGCGTTGACTTAAATACAGCTCATAACTAGACAGGCTGAAAATTTGGTAACACGTTAAGGTGTCCTTGTTACACATTTTACATTTATAATAACAATAAATGATCAGAAGTCAGAAAGAGCTGTTTGTTGTTTACACACTTTATTTTAAGGTGTCCTTTTTACACGTTACACACACTTACTATTATAATAACAATTAATTATGCGTAATTACATGCAAGTAACCCGAAACCAAACCCTCATCTTAACCTTAACCATATAGTAAGTACATGTAGTTAATTAATATTACTCAGTACTTAAATGAATCATTACAATAATTTGTAATTTAGTTTTTTTTTTTTTTAAATGGCCGATCGTTTCACTAGATAAGACCCTTATTCCTCGGCTGGGATCTTGTGGAGCTCTTTGAAGCTGCAATTTGGACCTTCAACCTGTTGATCCCCATTGAAGTCCACTATATGGAGAAAAATCCTAGAATGTTTTCCTCAAAAACTTCAATTTCTTTTTGACTGAAGAAAGAAAGACATGAACATCTTGGATGACATGTGGGTGAGTAAATCTTTATTCTGGAAGTGAACTAATCCTTTAAGGCTGCAGTACACTACATGACTTTTAAAATAGGAACACATCGTGCACTTGCACACTTAAGAAATGGTTACAGATGAAAGCTGAGCATCATACACTAAATGATTGGGGATCACACACACTACCAGTATTTCAGGTCATTCCCAAAACTACAAAGTCACACAGAAACATGCTTCGTTGCTACATGCATGACAAATAAAAACAAGTCTGTTGCATTAATACACTACACCGTTTTCTGTGAAGTCTGTCAACTCATATCTGCAGATTAGCTCTGACTTTGATTTTGACTTCTGACTTTGAATGATTAGTTCACCCAAAAATGAAAATGAAGTCATCATTTATTCACCCTGTTGTTGTTTAATTTTAGTATCACTGATACCCTTTAGTAGGCTATCACCCATGCGACTCGTGTTCTGGGGTTTGGTGAAAAACAAACCAAAATTGAACACATTATTCAACAAAAATCCTGACCTTGACTATTAGTCTTTGTGAACCACTGTGCCTTAATGGGACTCTATTAGCACAGCAGTTCACTCCGGCTTGCCCTGGAAAAGCACACAAGTTGTGAGAAATCAAAGCATGGCGTCTCTTGCTAGGGGGTTTCTTACTGGCCCAAGTCAAAAGAGCCCATTCTCTGTGATATTCTGGTCTCTAGATTGTTTCAGCTGGCCGTTTCATTGTTTACCCATTGAAAAAGATATGTATAAAGTACGTCTGCTGTAATTATTGTGTGACCATGCTGTGGTTCTGAATGCGTGACAGCGCTGCATCGGTGAATGTGGCTGTGATTTGTGAGCGTCTGAGACCGTGGGATCCTCCTGTGTCTGCATGGGACGTCCAGTGGCATCTCTCAAATCAGAGTGAAGCCTGTTAGAGCTGGAGCCGTTCTTCTCTCGGCTCAGTGCAAAGTGAAATGAAGGATTGTCAGGAAGATGCACAAGATGCACATGGTTTGTTCTTGATTGGCAATTTCTCAAGCACCATTTTTAATATTTAATTGCATGCATGACATGCATGACTCACTGGATAAACAGTTTACTCGTCCGTTAGCGTTGACTTAAATACAGCTCATAACTAGACAGGCTGAAAATTTGGTAACACGTTAAGGTGTCCTTGTTACACATTTTACATTTATAATAACAATAAATGATCAGAAGTCAGAAAGAGCTGTTTGTTGTTTACACACTTTATTTTAAGGTGTCCTTTTTACACGTTACACACACTTACTATTATAATAACAATTAATTATGCGTAATTACATGCAAGTAACCCGAAACCAAACCCTCATCTTAACCTTAACCATATAGTAAGTACATGTAGTTAATTAATATTACTCAGTACTTAAATGAATCATTACACTGTAACGAGCACACCTTAAAATAAAGTATAACCGAAAAATTTTACGTTTCTAAAACTGAAACCAAAGGGTGATCTTATTTTTTGTATATTTTAATAAATGTAATTATTAGGCTGTAGGCTTAGTTCATTCTGCATTGATTTGTTTAATTATTACAGAATTTCCAAAAGGAATTAATAATAACAAGCAGCTAATCTCTAATGCAGCTTTAATTTTCATCAGAATAATCCAGCCAGTGATCCTGCAGCACTTACTATTATAATAACAATTAATTATGCGTAATTACATGCAAGTAACCCGAAACCAAACCCTCATCCTAACCTTAACCATATAGTAAGTACATGTAGTTAATTAATATTACTCAGTACTTAAATGAATAATTACACTGTAACAAGCACACCTTAAAATAAAGTATAACCGAAAAATTTAACGTTTTTAAAACTGAAACCAAACAGTGATTTTATTGTTAGTATATTTTAATAAATGTAATTATTAGGCTGTAGGCTTAGTTCATTCTGCATTGATTTGTTTAATTATTACAGAATTTCCAAAAGGAATTAATAATAACAAGCAGCTAATCTCTAATGCAGCTTTAATTTTCATCAGAATAATCCAGCCAGTGATCCTGCAGCGGTTTGGCACCGGCCAGCAATTAGCCGCTCCATATGTCCATATCTGTAGCGTGAGGTTAATAGAGGCTCGTCTGCTCGCAGCTCTGGGGCCGTGTCTTTGGCGAGGCGGTAAGCAGCTTTTGGTGGATTTAAGCTTCATGTGATACTGCTCATTCTGGATGGTGAAAAGAGAGGATTGTTATGAACCGGATGGTGACCTGGGAAGTTTTTAATAGGATCCGTTATATAAAGCTGTGGTGTGTTGTTTTGTTTGGGATGCTGCTTACATTGTCTCTCATATCTATTGAATGTGATTAAGTAAAGTAAATATAAATGCTGGTAAGATGTTCGCAGAGGGACTTCCTGAAGACTGTTAAACACTGAAGATGCCTGTCTGTAGGTTTAGGGTTAGGGCCTCGTCAGTCTATCCCTTCTGTTAAAGCGGCATAACATCTCTAGTGATATTATTATTACTATCCGTTTGACAGGAGGAGTGTTTGGGAAACCTGTTGATAAACAGTCATTACATTTGCTCTTCCATTTGTGGCTAGTGGTCCAGAATTAAATATGCAGAAGTGCCGTCTTGTTTTCACGCTTTCTCACTTAATGGCAGTGAAAGATACTTTAAATTAGGGCTGTGTGATATTGAAAAAAAAATGCGATACCTTGTTAAAAAATGCGATATTCGATATGCGATACGGTATTGCTTAAAGTGTGAAAAATAAATTTCAATTATATTTGTTTTATTTCGATATATCGTGCAGCCCTACTTTAAATACTTTAAATGCTGACAATCTTTCAAATGAGTGAGCGGTCCAGTCTCTGCTTTCAAATAGGATCAGGGACCATTGGCCATTGTTATTTTCTCTCTAAAGGAAATTAATGTTTGTTGTGTCTGTCTTCGAGAGAACGGGCTCCATCAAAGCAGCATTTATTGACACGGCCGCTCATAATGGATGGATGCTTCACAAATGAACTTCAAGCGTTTGTTCCAGTGAACACTGTTCATCCCACACAAAAGACCGTTTGATTCGCCTTCTATTTACATTTGAGCAGCAGTCATGTAGAGGAACAGGACGTTCTGGTGTGCTGTTTTTATGGGTAGAAAGTTAGTGTAAGTCTCGGTGATGAGTAAACACTGCAGACACCAGAAGCGCTTTCTTCAGGAGTCCAGCATCATGTGGAGCACAATAACACCTTACTGAGAGACGCAAGAATGTGCATTGCTGAAAATCTCAGTTATCTCTCAAACAATACAATATAATAACATAATAGTGGTAGGTCTTTGATGTAGTCTCATTTCTCCTCCAAACTGATTTGGCTGTTACTACAGGTTTATTTACATGATTGACTTCAATGACAGGCTCTGTGTCTTTATTGCTCTGTAAATGTGTCCTGTTTTTCTCTCTTTAGGTTGTACGTTTCACCAAAGAAGCAGGTTGCGGCTGAACTGGGGCCTGAATCACCGCTCAAATGGAGTCGAAAAGTTCTCGATCATCCCAGTCCAGAGACCGAGGTCGCCTGTCGCACGCTCATCAACCGGCTAGACCAAAGTAGGGAAACTTTACAAGATTTGTGAATACATGTGCAATAGAAAGAGTATTTTATGATGTAACTGATGTTTGTTGTATGCACATGAATACAGAATGACTGAATGATTTGGATTTAAGTCAGAGCGCTTTAACACCTCACTGAACTACAGAAGCATTACCGATGTGCACTTTCCTGGGGAAATATTGTCCTGTGACATGTTTCTGCTTTGCGCACTGCTGTTACTGTATTTTCTGCTTCTGTAGCATCTGTCATAACAATATGAAATGAAAAAGGAATAGATCTTTTCTTCTGTATGGTGGCATACATCAGAGAGAAACAGATGATCGTGAAAGAAAATATATAGAATGAAGACTTGATTCTGTGCATTGGATGTTGAGATGTGAGCGTGGCTCTGGAGACAGATGAACATGAGCTTTAATCAGACTAAATAATTAGAAAAGTCCTGCATACGTCGCCAGATGTTTCGGTTATTAAATATTACCAGGTCAAAAAAAAAAAAAGAGTGTGCATTGAAGAATTGTTCACGATGAGATGTATAACATGCATTAATAATGACACCATGTGAAATCCAGTGAAGATCATTAAAATAATAACAGTTACTGGCATTTGCTGGTTCTTTACTGTCTAAAATGTTTATTGTCTTTATAGCTGGACCTATGAGTAATTAGTTTCTTTCAAGCTCTTTCAGTGTCACATTTTTATGAATTTTTACTAGGCATGTGACAGTGTGATACGTGCATTTCCCCAAATTAGTAATGAAAATAATTTATAAATCTGCTGCTGTCAACAAAGAAGAAGCACTGAGGTCTTCCTGTGGGTTTCTGCCAAAATAAAAGCTCCATCAACATTCATAAATGTTAGTATTGTAATTTTACTGTTGTTCTGTTAAATAAAATTAAAAAGTAAGACAATAATAATAATAATTACAACAGCTTTATTAATACATTTATTATAACATTCACACATAGTGTTCAAACTAGGATCTGTAATATTTTCTAATGTTTTAAAATAATTCTCTTCTGCTCAGCAAGGCTGCTTTTATTTGCATGCCTGATTCAAGAAGGGGGTCTCAAAAATGGCCACAAAATATTATTTTACCAACTTATTAATTTTAAGTTAAATTGTGCTTTGTTGGTATAATGCCTGCTAGAATGTTAAAAAATGTTCCGTGTTAAATAAGTATTTTTAAATAGTTGTTTTGTATTAGTGTACAATGTTTAAAAAGAATCATTTATTCCATGTAGTGTCCATTTCATTCATTTAACATTTAATATCGGAGGCATCCAAGTTATTTGACACATTTGAACATTTTCAAAAAAAAAAAAGTTACACAATAGTTACTTTCCCTGGTAATTGGTTACTTTTATAATGATGTAATTCAGTTACTAACTCGGTTACTATTTGTGAGAAGTAACTAGTAACTTAGTTACTTTTTTAAAGTAACTTGCCCAGCACTGGTCACTACTATTGCACTATAATGCTGCTTCTGCCACGTTATGACAATAGATTTACACTTGGAATTAGGGCTGTCGCGGTGAAGGAATTTCCCTTGCGGTAATTTTGAGTGGCTCAATAGCGCGGTATGCGGTTTTACCGTCATAAATATACATATATATACACACACACACACACACACACATATATACCTGCGCGCGTTCTAGACGGGCTGTCAGTCAGTGCAGTTACAGTGTTGCGCCACAAGGTGGTGGAACGTGACTGTCATTCAACTACACGTTCAAAAACGCTGATTCATTAATTCAAAGAGATGTAATGAAACACGCTGTTGAAATCATTTTAACTTTGAGCGCCACTTTAGAAGGCTCAGCTGGCCAGCTATGCGTCGATGCTAAGACAGAGATTTCGCTTTCCTTGAACATGACAACCTATTTTCACAAATATATATGACTCGGCCTGGAGGACAGACGCAAGTAATCGCACGTGCTCAGTCGATCTCTCTCTCATTCACTGTCCGTTTAGGCTTGTTAAGTGCAAATCTACGGAGCCTCTGTACAAATCAGCATGGTACACATTATGTTATCATTACTAACTTGTTTAATATTCAGTCCACATGCATGAAGTGTAAAACGAGAAGGGCATAACCTTACGAAAAATAAAACACGGAAAAATCGCGGTTGCTGCGGTTCTTGCATTCCTCTGCGGTTTGCTCGTCAATAGCGCGGTATTGCGATATTGCGGTTATCGCGACAGCCCTACTTGGAATTAGGTAGTCTGTCATCAATGACAGTAGCTCATTGGAAAAAGTGCCCTTCATTGTGTTTGCACTAATAAATGCTGCTGCCTGCCAGCTGCAATCACCAATAAAACGTGTTCCTTATTTTTTTCTACATCGTCATAAATATCATTATCGCAAATATTCTTGAAATATCATGATATAATTTTGAGGCTATATCGCCCACCCCTACTATAAATTATTATATTTTATTTTTCCTGAAATGTAAGGTTCTCTTTTTATAAAATAGCTGCTACTGTTATGTTTCTTATAAGAATCATTTCTTGCTGAAAGTATCAGAATGCGTATTTGTTTAGTCGACATCATTGCGTTTCTTTCTCTGTTGTGATGTTTGCTCTGTCAAGTCTTGGATGTCTAATGCTGACTGTTAATAATGTTCACTGTTAACGGTTTCGTCAAGTGGAAATGTGTGCATCCTTACATGTGAAATGCCAAATGGAGGATTAGTTCAGGGATAAATTGTACCGAACAATGACGTGACGCGATCAAATAGCAACCAGCGCAGAGTGAGAGGCGCGCACTCTTTATTATGCAGCACACACATCAGCAGTGTGGAAGCATTTAAACTGTCGGAGAAAGACGCAAAAATCATTACA